ATACTGGTCCATACAGGTCCCTACACACCCATACTGCTCCATTCTGTTGAAACTGGTCCATACTGGTCCGTTGTGACTTATACTGGTTTATACTGGCTTATACTGGTCTGTACTGGTCTGTACTGGTCAGTACTGGTTTATATAGGTCCATACTGGTCTGTAGTGACTTATACTGGTTTATACTGGTCCATACTGGTCCATACTGGTCTGTACTGGTCCCTACACACCCATACTGCTCCATTCTGTTGAAACAGGTCCATACTGGTCCGTAGTGACTTACACTGGTTTATACTGGTTTCTAATGGTTTCTACCGGTGCATACTGGTGTCTACCGGTTCCTACCGGTCCGTACCGGTTCCTACTGGTTTCTACTGGTCCGTACTGGTTTCAGGGTGAGGCCATCAATCGCATCGAGCTGCACATCCTGCAGTCGGGGACGGCGGTGCACAAAGGGCAGCGGCAGCTCAGGACGGCGCGGGAACAGCAGGGCAAGGCCAGGAGGGTGCGACCCACAGCTGCCCCATAGCTGCCCCATAGCCGCCCCATAGCTGCCCCATAGCCACCCCATAGCTGCCCCACAGCTGCCCCATAGCTGCCCTATAGATATCCCATAGCTGCCTGTTAGCTGCCCCATAGATGTCCCATAGATATGCCATAGCTGCCCCATAGCTGCCCCATAGCTGCCCCATAGCCGCCCCATAGCTGCCCCATAGCCGCCCCATAGCAGCCCCATTCTCATTAATCCCCCATAATCCCCCTTTTATCCTCTATAATCCCCCATTATTCCTTCATAATCCCCCATAATCCCCCATAATCCCACATAATCCCCCATAATCCCACATAGTCCCCCTTAATCCCCCATAATCCCGCATAATCCCTCATTAATACTCCCATAATCCCCCTTAATCCCCAATTAATCTCCCCTAATCCATCATTAATACCCTTTATTCTAATTAATCCCTCATAACCCCCATAATCCCCCCTTATCCTCGTTAATCCCTCATAATCCCCCATTTATCCTTTATAATCCCCCATTATTCCATCATAATCCCCCATAATCCCCCTCAGTCCCCCATAATCCCGCATAGTCCCTCATTAATCCTCCCATAATTCCCATTAGTCCCCAATTAATCCCCCATAATCCCTCATTAATCCCCCATTATTCTCATTAATCCTCCATTATTCTCATTTATCCCCCATAATCCCCCATTAATCCCCCTTATCGTCATTAATCCCCCATAATCCCCCATTTATCCTCTATAATCCCCCATAATCCCCCCTTTACCCCCCTTTA